CGGCCTGAGTGATCCTTCAATGATGACAGCCAGCATAGTGCTTGATGGTCGGTGACGACATCGAATGGGCGACCATACAAATAAGGTCGAAACTTTGTAAGAGCCCAGACGATCGCCAGGCACTCTTTTTCCGTGACGGTGTAGTTTGTCTCGGCTCTCGTGAGCGTACGGCTTGCATATGCTACGACATAATCAGGGAACCCGGGTTAGCGCTGCGCCAGGACAGCGCCGAGGCCTACACCACTGGCGTCCGTGTGCACCTGTGTTGGGGCCGTAGGGTCGTAGTGGCGGAGAATGGGAGGAGACGTCAACAAATGGCGGAGCTTCAAGAACGCGTTGTCGCACTCTGACGACCACGAGTTGAGGGGCCCGTTACTTCCAAGGAGCTTCGTCAGCGGTGATATAATCGTGGCGAAGTTTCGTATGAAGCGTCGGAAGTATGAGCACAGGCCCACGAAACTACGCAGTTCTTTGACGGATGCAGGTTTTGGGAATTCGGCCACGGCCCGAAGTTTGGCTGGGTCAGGAAGAATGCCATCCTTGGACACAATGTACCCTAGGATGGTGAGTTGGCGTGCTGCAAAGCGGCACTTCTTCAGATTTAGTTGCAAGCCGGCATCGCTCACACGTGCGAAAACTTCTTTTAGACGTTGGAGATGGGTGGAGAAATCTGGAGCGAAGAAAACAACGTCATCGAGGTAACACAAGCACGTGTGCCATTTCAAGTTGCGCAGAACGGTGTCCATCATGCGCTCAAATGTCGCAGGTGCGTTACACAGACCAAACGGCATGACGTTGAATTCGTACAAGCCGTCGGGTGTGATGAAGGCAGTCTTCGGTCGAGCGTCATCAGCCAGGGGTACTTGCCAGTACCCCGAGCGCAGATCGAGCGAAGAAAAAAGTTGGGCTCCGTGAAGGCTGTCAATTGCGTCGTCTATGCGCGGCAGTGGGTAGACATCCTTGCGAGTGATCTTATTGAGCCGTCTGTATTCCACACAGAACTGCACAGAACCATCTTTCTTCGCAACAAGAACAACAGGAGACGCCCAAGGACTGTCCGAGGGCCGAATGACGTCGCGTCGGAGCATATCGTCAACCTGCTCGTTAATTTCCCGGCGTTTGGCAGGCGACACGTGGTATGGACGTTGCCGTAATGGTGGATGGGCACCAGTGTCGATACGATGCGTAACAGTGGACGCGTGACCGAGAGATCTTCGCCCGACATCTAGAGAAGAACGGTATTCTTGCAACAGGTCTAGAAGCTGGGAACGCTGTACTGACGTAAGGTTGTCATCAATGTACGGGCCAAATACATCAGGAGATGATGGGTCAGAAGTAGAAACAGCACTGATGGTACGCGAATCGGGACAACGCGAGTCTTCGTGTACGTCCAGGACTTGTGCGTCGTCGACTAGTTCCACTCTGCCGAGACATTCCCCTCGAACCAAGGTAACAGTGTACGGGGATGGGTTGGTTACGAAAATAGCGGCGTTGCCCTGGGTGATCTGCACCGTCGCGAAAGGTACTAGCAACCCTTTACTTCTGGAAGCACGGTAGGGTTGCGAAACGAGTGCAATTGTGTCGGAGAGACCGGTGCAGTAGACCGATACACCCATCGTCGAGCTTGGAGGCACTATAGTATCGTCTTTCAGAAGAATATTGCTCAGTATCGAGGGACCGTCTTCTGGCGTCAAATGCGAGAAGGGCGAGAGTTCAATTTCGGCGGCTGGCACAATGAATGACGGCGTCGTTGCGGGAGAGAAAATCCCATTCCAGGATGACGGCATGAGAGCATGCAGGAATGATGATGAATTGGGCGACATACAGAACGTCCTGAACGACAACGCGATCTGTGCAGCCTGCTGTAGGATTAATACGATGTGAGCTAGCGGTACGAAGGGACAGTCCAGAAATCGGCGTCGTCACTTTTCGAAGCAAGCGGCAAAGGTTTTCGCTCATAATTGATACCGCAGCTCCAGTGTCAATAAGAGCAGATGCATTAACACCGTCCACAAGCACGTCAATGACATTAGATGGGCGGATCTGAGGGCTTTCACAATGCGATAGCGTCGCAGTCCTTGCCTCTGGGACTGCGACGACTAGTTTTCCCGCTCATGAGCAGAAGAACTTGGCCGCATGGGGGACAGAGACCGACGTCGTGGAGACGGCGACCTTCGAGCAGACGGACCTGGGCGAGACGATAGTGGCACAGACGGCAATTCGTCGTTATACGAACGGCTAAGGTGGCCAACAGCAGGAGAAGAAATGGGAGCCGGCTGTACTCGAGAGCAATAACGGGCTACGTGACCGGCATAACCGCAAGCAAAGCAGATGGGCCGGTTGTCGGATGTGCGCCATCGGTTTGCCGGGGTGGGTCTCGGCCGGAACGGTGGCTGGAAAGGCTGCAGTGGTGGGCTGAAGATGAGGCTGAGGGGTTGCGCCAACATACGCAGCCGGCATACCCGCTGCAAAGGACGGAGGTCGTGCGGCAGCTTCGGCGTAAGTCAGTGGTGCAGGCGCTTGAACGACTGGAGGCGGCCTTGCGACCACTTGGGCGTAACTTGAGGGCACAGGGGCCGGAAGTTGTTGCGGGTGGTACGCAGGCATGACCTCCGCTATTTCCTGCTCAATCGCTCAGCGGATGGGTGGAAGAAAAGTAGTTGCCGATTGTTGAACAGCCGGTGGGTGGGCAAAGGGAAGGAGAGAGAACTGGCGCGCGATTTCCTCACGGATGAAGGACTTTAGGTCTGCCAGCAGCGCCACCTGATCACATCTCGCCTCCAAGCCAGCAAGCCCTGCTTCTCGTGGTGTAGAGCGACGGGTCCTCGAACGCTGCCAGGCTGGAGCTCCTCGTAGCTTCTGGCACAGCGTGATGAGCCTAGCTACTGTGCCTGGGTTTTTGGCTAGCAGCATCGTGAAGGCATCATCGTCAATGCCCTTCATGACGTTCCGGATCTTGTCTGATTCGGACATGCTGTCGTTGGTTTTCTTGCACAGGTCCAGGACATCTTCAATGTAACTGGTGAATGATTCACTGGCCTGCTGAGCGCGTTCGCGTAAGCGCTGCTCGGCTTGCAGCTTGCGAACGGCAGGGCGGCCAAAAACGTTGGTGATAGCAGTCTTGAAACCGGACCAGGTTGCGAACTCGGACGCGTGGTTGGTGTACCACAAACTTGCAACGCCCGCAAGGTAGAACACCAAGTTTGTCAACTTGCCGTCCTCGTCCCATTTGTTGGTGACGCTCACGCGCTCGTAAATGGCGAGCCAGTCCTCCACGTCAGTGCCATCGGCGCCCGTGAAGATGGGTGGATCGCGGATCCTGGGGACACCGGGACATTGGGGGTGGCATGGGAGGAGGCGTTTGTTTAGAGGCGTGGTGGACATGGTAGATTGCAGGGTACGTGAGCGTAGTTCCAAGGGCATCGAAGGGGATCGTAGCACTCTCCACCAATTCGTTATGGCGTTTATTAGCCGGCACACAGCGAGTCTACACAATGGCGACAGTAACGGACAAGCACCGAGCTCTCCGCGCGAGCGGCGTTCTTTTTTGGCAGACCCACTAGAAAGCACTTGAGATTTCGACCCATTACAGTGCTCGGCGGCTTCTCTACAAGTGAAACATTATGAAGTCGCGCTAAATATATGCGAGAAATTGGATAGTGAACACTGGAACCAGCATTGCCATTTCACGAACATTTGGCTCTTCTTGCAAAGTATTTCGAAGACCCTAAGTTAAGGGAACGATTCTGAGGGCACCCAGACGTAGGCGATTCGATAGATAGATAGATAGATAGATAGATAGATAGATAGATAGATAGATAGATAGATAGATAGATAGATAGATAGATAGATAGATAGATAGATAGATAGATAGATAGATAGATAGATAGATAGATAGATAGATAGATAGATAGATAGATAGATAGATAGATAGATAGATAGATAGATAGATAGATAGATAGATAGATAGATAGATAGATAGATAGATAGATAGATAGATAGGTGGATAGTCACAGTGGTTGCAGTACGCAATGAAAATCATTTTAAAAACCATTGACAGTATAACCACCAGAGTTATTGTTTAAAATGTGCTTTGTTCTTGAGAGAAAGAATTATCACAGAAGACCCAAAAACCTTTACCTCTTAGCCTGCATTCCATTAGGATTCAAGTGAAAACAAAGAATGATAACATGCCAATGAACAATTCGACACTCGCCGCATATGATAATCAAAACGCTGTTGGAAATGGAGTCCGACGTTGAAATGGCAGAAAAATGAGTGAATGAAATTCGAAGAGTTTTTTTTCATTTTTTGAATAAATATTGATATTTACATTATGCCTAAACGGGCGAATTCGTTCCTGACACCGTTCACCCTAATGCGGAAAGATAGTTCGATGGAGTCACTCTCAGAATGCTTTTCTCACACGACCGCCTTGGGATTCTGTCTGCTCCCTTGATCGTACGTTTTCATTCAAGAAACCGTGCTGGATCCGTTACTGCGGGGAATAAGAAACCTTTTCCTTGTCCGACCGATAACCTCTTTGACACAGCGGCACAATACACGTCCTGTCTTCCGCTTAGCTTTTAACATCTCAGGGTGTTGTAGTGTAGATGTGGCGCCGTTGAACTTCACGGTAATTGAGACGGCAGCTGTCACGCACTGATTTTAAACGCAAGGCTCCAGCAGCAACAGGACGAGAGGAATTTCGCGCGTTCGTGCGCCCTCTCGACACGCAGCGCCGCTTGTGGCATCTGAGTGCAGTCATCACATGCGGGGCCACCCATCTCTCGTACAGAATGCGCGCGCTCAGCACACTAGCCAGTATATTTCTAGACACTGTAGTGAAACTTATGACGTTCTCGGGGTGCAGTTTATCAAGTCATTGTTTCTCTTTAGTGTCCTTTTAATGGCCAGCGGTAATCTTGCTTACGCCCTACATACTCTGGCCAGTTTCCTCTCCGCTTTTGACTAAGAAAGGTACAAGTATTCAGTGGAATTTATTTCCGCGTTCCGATTGGTACATTCACTCGTCGGCGATAGGCAAGTCGCGGATGTGCTTGTGCGGCTTGCCGAACGAAGGGCTCCTCGGGAGCCTCCTCTTGCCGAGCCACCACGGGCGCCAAGTGCACCGGCGCGGCGGGCGTCTTTTCGGGCACGGCAACCGCGTTCAGGCACTCTGCACAGAGGGGAGTGCTGCTTAGCTTAGCTTAGCGTGCGCCGCCGCAGAGGCTCACCTGTGGCGTCCTTGGTGGCAAGTAGCGTTCCGCTAGGGCACTCGCAGTGGCTGTACACGCAGCGCGCGTTGGCCGCTCGGCAGTCAGCGTGCTTCGTGCAGCGCGCCCTCAGGCCACCTTCGGGTTTCGCTTCGCAGCTGTCGGTCGAACGAGCAAACCCTTCTCGGCACGCGCACCAGCCCAAATTCACCACGCACTCGCTGTGCGCTGTCACGCTGCACTGTTCCTGCGTAGGTCAATGCCGCACTCATTTCCCGGCATAATACGCCATTAACAGATGCGGCCGTTATAACGTGTGTCGCTGAAAGACGCTTACAATTTGTTAGCTTCTCGTTGGATCGGGCACTTTTACGTGCCAAAACGACGACACTGGATTCGGGCAATTTCGACCCGCCATCGGCTGCAGGGACTGTCGAAGCTTACCTGAAAATAGCAGCGGCCTCCAAGCCGGGCCTTGGGCCAGCACACGGTGTGCACGGAGCGCAGGCGCAGCGGGTGGCCGCTCGTCGACGCACGCACAGCGTCCCTGCACACAGCGGGCGCCCCGGGCCTCGCACTTGCCATCCGAGGGTGTGCACGTGTCCGTCAGCTCGCTTTTTCACCAGGGCCGTGTCCGAGGCGACCTTGAAGTCTGCGAACGTGTTGCATTTGAACGGGTAGGCGCCGGACTCGGTGGGCAGCACCTGCAACGCACAGCAGAAAATTCTTTCGCACCTGCACGTACACTCGTCCACAAGCACTCGCCTGCCAGCCGCCGATGCGCAGCACGGACACCTTGGCGATGGTGCGGCCGTCGTCCATGAGCGCGCTCGTCTCCTCCACGTGGCCGATGTCACGCAGGTCACGGTCGTACAGCGTCCAGAATACGGCACCGAAGTTGCTGTATCCCACGGTGCAGGTGAGCGTCAGCACTGGCTCGCGCTCATCCAGGCTCAGATTCTTCGGCGTGACGCTGGCCGCGCGCTTGAGCACCGTCAGCACCGAGGATGCCAGAGCCGCCGGCTTGCCGCTATCGGCCGCGGCGGCCTTGCTCGCCGAGCAACGCAGCACAGATAGGAGGGCGGCAATGACGACGACCAGCTGTGTCATGGCTGACGACCCGGTGGAACAGCAATGATGATACTCGAGCTCATGCACACAAACAGTGTCAGTCATTTTATAAAAAAACGGCTCAATTTTACAAAAATTATCATTTCATTGGCTTGGCGCATCTGCCATAGATTATTACTTGACGCCCTTATTTGCTTTACTGTCATTAAAGTGCCTTGCAGCTTCACCTGCTTGCGTAACACTGTCTCAATGCCATTCCAAACGAAGAAGAAAATATATTAGCCCCTTTTAGGAACTGTAGCGTATTCGCGACAAGATCGGGCTATAGGTAACAGCACCGTATCCGCTAAAGTGTGGATAGGTGGTCCGCGGCGCGTATACAAAGAATAAAACTAATAAAAAATATACGCAGCGGCGTTTCGCTGCGTGTGGTTTGAGCCGATGGTTGCGAATGAAATACTTTGCAGTTTACTGGTAATACTTATTAAAATTAGTAGTAATAATAATAGTTTTTATTCGCACAACACAGAGCCTTCCGGTGACGTGCGAGGCTATACAGAAAGGAAAAGCCCTTACGCGCGTGCGTCTGCTAGCCCGTCACCGGAAGGCAAGGAAAAAAGAGAGGAGGGGGGGGGGCTGAGGGAGAGTTCATCACGAGTAGTTAGACAGATGACGACTGTACCGGGAGCATATGCGTTTGGAGTCCGCTCTCGTGCGAGGGGGAGGGGCACGAACACACATTGGTAGAGTGAGGAACTCGCGCAAGGAAGCTGAGATGCTGGAGGAGCCGTGACGCTTAGTTCGTGGGTGCTGAGGCTCCGGCTGACCTGAGCGTTTGTTCACACGTCTGCTGACGATAATAGTGTTTCCGTCAGGAAGTCGTCGAGTAGACGAAAGAGCAGGAGCATTTGGGTTACAGCACGGCGTTGTCGCAGAGGATGCCACTTGGCTATCTTCAGGCGGGTAGTCCACGGGCAGATACTTTACGGAGCGTGCGTAGAGGGTACGCGAGGTTCTTCTTTGTACACTTTCTATGCGGGCGATAAGATGATGCTGGTTGGGTGACCATATGGCCCAGCCATATTTAAGGATAGGCAGCACGAGTGATGCGTACAGAAGGGCAAACGTAGCAGGGCCGCGTGGTTTAAAGGCTCTAGACAAGAAGCCAAAGACTCGGCGGGACCTAGCAACGATGCTTGCAACCTGAAGGCTGAAGTCCAGAGTACTGGTGAAAGTGACACCTAGTATTTTCAGCCAATACTCCGTCCGGAAGAGGGATACCGCGCATAGAGTAAGAGGGCTTCGCAGGCAAGCGAGCACTCGAGAACTTCATTACACTGCTTTTAGCAGGGGACAGCTTCAGGTGGTTTGAAACAATCCAGGACTCGATCACTATTAGGTACTCCTGGAGATTCTGACTTGTGGTGGGACAGAGGATAGGGAAAAGAATGAATGTGTCGTACGCGTACTGCACGAGGGGGAAGCGGTTTTCCAGCGGCATGTCGGTGACGTAAATCCGGAAGAGGGTCGGCCCAAGGACAGAACACTGAAGCACTCCTGAGGGCACTGGTATCCTGTTAGAGTGGGCGCCACAATATAAGACGTTGGCTGCGCCCGATTAAGAAGTTGGCCAGCCATCTGAGAAGGCATCCACGAATACCTGACTCATTCACCTTGTCCAGCAAAGCGAGAATGTTGAGGATGTCGAAGGCGTTGCTCAGGTCAAGCTGAATGAGGTCGGTTTCTGTGCGGTTGTCAAGATTGTGACTTACAATTTGGTTCAGTGTAACCAGGGCTGTGTCGCAGCCGCGGTCACTGGCGAAAGCCATGCGATGGGGCACGAGAAAGCTTTGTCCACTCGAGGAAGTCAAGCAACTGGCTGTTCAGAACACGTTAAACGTACGGCATATGATCGACGTGGTGAAGATTGGCAATAGTTCTTGGGATTTTCAGAAGGCTTGGATTTCGCTTTGTGAACAGGGGTAACCAAGGCACGTTTCCAAGAAGCGGGCACAGTGCCACGGTCAAGTAGGCATTGGAACACAGTGCACTGGGATGCAAGCAGTTGGGGCGCAAGCGGCCCAACTGCGGAGACCTGTTGCAAAAGAAGGTGGACGCCATGCTATCGGGACCGGGGCTTGGTGATGGATTGATTTTGGAGATGACGGTGAAAAAGTAGCTGAGGAGTAGTGGATAGTCACGCAAGTTGATCGTCGGGAAGCTAATGGGATGCGCGCCTTGATCACGTTGAGAGATCTTGTCAAGTAGTTCGGTGTCATGGGCGGGAGCTTTAACATAGATGGAAGAAAATTGTTCAGCAAAGAGAGCAGGGACTTTCGTATGGCGGTCAGCAAGCTTTCCCTGAATGTTGAAGCTGGGGCGGTGATGTGATGACCGAAGACTATTCACGTAAGAACAGAGAACCTTGTGGTCCTCCGTAGCTTTCTCAGCCAGCTTGGTGGTGTAGCGCTGATGCTATACGTGGATCGCTGCCTTGAGGGAGCGCTGGTGGGCCTTCGCTAGTCGGAAGGTAACGGGGCATTGTCTTTGGGAAGCCTTCCGAAACAGCAATCGTTTTTTCTCGCTGCCTTCATGATTTCTGGGGTGATCCGCGGGCGTTGCCTTCGCGTGGACGTTCAGGTGCATGATAGTACACACTCGCGCTGGATTGCCGATGTCATGTCGCACCACAATTCACAGTTGTCATAGCAGTCATCGCTAGATGAGATCATGCACCAGGGTGCAAGGTGCACTAAGCGCGCTAAGTGAGTATGGTCAGCCTGGTCAAATTTCCACAGCTGACGAGCGTGGTGCCCTTTTCGGGGATAACACTGCAGCAAAGCCCACTTCAATGACCTGATGATCTCTGTTAGACAGGCCCTTACTTGTTGAGCAGAAGGTTACTAGGGTTGGGTCGGCCACGAACCCACGGTTTAGGAAGGAGGAGGTACTATCTCGTGAAGAGTATGTGGGTTCGAGGCGTACCTGGACGAGGTAGGCTGACGTCATGACGTCTAGGAGTACGTCGCCGATGCGGTCGCGTGGGAGAGGGTCATCGTGTGAAGTCCAGTCAATATGAGCATTGAACTCACCGAATATTAGAAGGTTAGTATACTGCTTGCTCAATGCAAGTGAGAGGGATAAATCGAGGTGCGTATACGCTTCATGCTTTAATGAAGGCGGGCGGTATGAGCCGCAGATCAGCACGGTGCTAGGTAGTAAGAAAAGCTCGACGAAAAGAGCCTCTAGATCACCATGATTGAAGTCTAGCCGGCGGTTCACTTTTTCAGGAGTTGCGAAAGCCATCAAGACACCACCACCCCCGCCACGCCTATCTTTCGGAGCACTGTGTACCCGCTAGTTTCGAAAAGTTCGCTGTCAGTCAACCTTGCGTCGAGCCAGGTTCCTGTGAGCAACACGACAGTATTTGACGGGATTGCAGACAGATATGCGCATGTAAATCCCCTATTTACGCTCCTCTCCGCCGAATCGACGCACGAAGTCCATGCAACGTTACTATTACTAGCGAGTCAAGCTCGCCCTGGCTGGCTAACTGCGCGCTTTCGCACTAAATCACGCTTGTGCCGTGTCATTTGTGCGCATTTCACTTATGTTCCGCCTCTCCTCTTGAACGACTGAACTATATACTTATTAAAATGTTGCTCATCTGAACAGTAAAAAAAAAAAAGATAAGGAAGGATATTCCTAATATCGGTGCGACGCGTTCGGTGTCACTCGCCTCCGTGGTGCTACTGTTCGCACCGAATACGCGGACGCATTTTTTGCCTTGTTCCGCATAAAATGTGAGATAGTCGATAAGTCTGGGCAAGAAGGCTCCGTGGCTGACAGCTACCTTGCGGTACATTGACGTTTACCACGTACGCACATGTTAGTGCACCAGTAAAACTATCAAAAGCTCATTAGAGCTTTGCAGAAAGCTTTTTTTAATAAATGTATGTAAGGAGAGGTTTGCAGAAAGCTTTCATCGAAGGATGACGTGCATGTATATGACAATGATAGAACAAACGTCTGCTTATTTAATGGGAAGAACATGATATTTTGTTTTTCCTTTTTTAACCAAAAATGACTGCTGCCTTCCGTCAGTCAATAACAAGGCCACACAAACGCTCAAGACAATGTAAAAAAAAGTGACATTTTTTGGTAAATTATACAACAGTAATGTGAGGCACGCCGTCTGAATTATCAGCTGGACAGAAGGATTTTCCCCCTTCCTCATATCCAACTTCGTAGGGTCCAGGCATCAGCTCTCCGCATGCTTCCAACCAGCTCGAACCCCGTCTTCATTCCCACAGCCATTGGTCAGTGAAAGCATTGATCCAACAAGCCGAGATTGTGGCGCCGTATCTACGTTAGACCACATGCTCTGGCAGTGCCCCTCATCACGCGATTCTCGGCACATGACCGAAGAGGAATAGAGCTCTGCTGTCAGGAGCTCAGAACTTGCACATCAACTGTGGGCTGTCCAGAGGGCCCACGACGCGGTGGTGACTGCTCGGCCTATCCCGTTCCGACGCGGGAGCAGCCCGCTATACTTCCTTGAGGTAGTGTTCCTCAGGACCTCAATAAAGTTCTGTGTTTGTCTGGGTTATTTAAAGCATTTTTAAATCTAAGCAAGCGGGTGTTTCAGCGTAAATTTCACTGCGTAAATTTCGTCCCAAGTTAAAGATTGGCACTCGGAAACTCCGTTTTAAGAAAAGTTTAAATATCGAAGTGTCCACACTTTACTTGATAGAATTACCTCTATGTACCATGGCCAGATAAACATAACTAAAGCTCATCGCATAGCCGACGAACTATATACAATACGTGCCGTAGTTATACACCTAACAAGTGCAGGCGCGTAGCCTAGAGCCCCGTTTTTTTTTCTTTACAACGAAGGAAACGCAGGCATTCACTCACCATTTAATAGACTTAATGTTTGAGACGATGTCAAGTCCATATTACGACATGCTTAAACCAGAAAGCGGCACCCACACTGAAACGATTCTTGTAAACTGGAGGGTGCGACGACAACACACAACACTCTAGAAAGTAGCACATCACTGATCTTATTGCAGAGCAAGACCAAATGCTTTCATATGTAGTTTTAGACATAAGCACAAGGAGTGAAGCTCATGCAAGATATCCGAACAAACCACCTTTTGCGAACGTGCACGACGAACACGGCCTTCGCGAATACAATGGAAGAGTTTCTGAGTATGTATAGCCACCCGTCGTCGGTAGGGGCGCGGCAACCCTGACCTTGAATCTTCTGCGGCGCGCATACGGCACAACGGCGTTTACTTGTGAAACCGTGGAAGTTTTCGACGGAGAAGTGGAGGGGAGTTATTTAAAAAAAATCGGGGATAGAGGGAAGGTCGTCTACTTTAAAAAAAAAACTAGTCCTTACTAGACGGCTTGCCACCTAATGTAGGTATGTATGTGCTCAGTCGAAAATACAAGCTGAAACTCGGTAAAAATGCTGAAGAATTGGCTAATGAGAAGCATTTGGCACTGGGCACCATCTGAGAGAAAAATATACAATAATGCACCTGTTCTGCAAGCAGATAGCACCAAATACTTTTGGCCCTTGGTCTCACTGGACAATGACGTCGCAATTAAGAGAGGTCACTCACAGAATGACGAGCACTGTCCTTCACTTTGCTAGCTATTTTCTATTTTTCTTTATTTTTACAAATACATTTGGAGTGCTTTTCAGGGCTAAAAGCTGCGGTCTGCAGCCTGACCACCCTTGTAAACACGCACGTGCGTTTTATATCTAATGGCCAAAAAAAAAAAAACTGCGTATAAGAAAAAGGAAGTAAAAAAAGGGAGAGAGCACCATTGCTGCTGAATAACCCCTTCAGACGGCACGCACAGAGAGTGGTGGTGTGCATTGTTAAGGTGTTAACACCACCCTGGAAATATTGATTCCGGAGACCCCAAACCCTTTTGCATTCCTTTGTACTGCAAGTCACGTCCATGAAGAATGCGAAGTGCGCTGCAGCTTACGCTCGCAATCCACTTGCCCCAGGATCTAAAACTCTTGTGCAAATCAGGTCTGCGCTATGCTTCAAGTTCGTAGCAGAACATGTTTATAAAAAAGATCTGTATGAATTCTCTTGTGGCTTAGTGCAGAAACAGGTTGTTGTCATTATCTTTTTATCTCTAGTGTGGCTTGCTTTATTCTGGTAATTACCCACCACAGCTGCATTTAATTCGGTGCTTCGTCAGTGTTCAGTCTACAGTGATTTCTCGAGTCGAGAAGGCAGTCCCACAACCTTTAATACACGCATTACGCACATGGATATATATTAGCTGTGTTCCGGCCATGGCCGCTCGATCGCCGTGGTTTTCCGTATTGCAAGTCCCGTTCGGGAAAAGCACCCGGTGTTTCTTTTCACCACTTCCCAAACAATACTGAGCTGTGCGCCAAGCGGCAAAAGGATACTGCGAGAGACAGCCTCATCATCAACGACAAGTCTGCATCGACTGTCGTATGCAGCAGACACTTGCGCGATGAAGACTAAGTGCCTGCGTTCCGCATCAGGAAACTTATTCCCGACTCCTCGCCTATCTTTACGAGGACTATTCCTTCCTACTTGATTCCAAGTGGATAGAAACCTCGCAAAGATCCGGCCTCACGAGCTTCGTCCTTACGTCAAACATCAAGGAAGCGAAAAGCGGAGACCAAAGAAACAGATTTGGATGTTGCGACTTCACAAGACTTTCTCTGAACAAGAAGCAGTAAGTGTTTGCACTCAAACAATATACAGCGACGCTCATTGCGCGGGTCGATACCAGGCCTATGATAGAACGATTGCCCTCC